TCGTGCGAAAGCTTCTTGTAATAAGCCTTCCTTAAGTGGATTGGACTTGCATAGTTTGAGGGAAGTTTACGGGCACGGCTCCAGAAAGCACGAAATAAGAATCACCCCAACAGGGTGCAACAATGGAGACACCGATATATACTGTAAAAAACGAATATAACTCTAGCAGACGGCACAGGAAATGTTCGTTCGCTTGATCCTAAACGACTTACTAATCTCCATACTGATAAGTTTTAATAGCTCCGAGCTGACTGACTAGTGTTTTATTACTTAGTCCTGACCAAGCAAGACGAAATTTTTTCAGGTTTGAGGGATGCGGATGTATCACTCCCACAATACGATCGTCCGAAGACTAACACCATTGCCACCCTTACTAATGAGTTTTCAGCTACTGAGCTTAAAACACGTTGAAAATGCCTTCAGCGTAGTATAGCTGAACAACCTCAGGATACAGTGAGTGTCGGGAGATTGAGGGTTGACGGAGTGGGAACTCGAATTGTATTCAAGTAATACAACAAAGTCACGAAAGAAACGTCTGGAACCTATTTAATTTGTCAATATCTGAAGTCTACTCACACACAGTCAGTCAAAAATATATCGAAACGTGAGTTAGATATTATTACAGATGACGAATTTCGCAAAAGTTGCGAAGGATTGACGCCCAAAGCATGCTCCCAAAAATGTGCGTGCACCTGAATCGCCATTAATAGAAAGATAGATGCGCTGCCGAAAGTACCGAATTGCTGAGTTCACTGGTTTTATCAACGGACTGACCCACCTACTATATGAATAAAAACCCTAAAAGCATGTAACAGGATACGATCAATGAATAATTTTCCAGGCTGTTCCGGGCGTCCCACCTGAATGACAAGTCTTCGTAGACGGTTCAATCAATTTAAACCGGGACAACTTTTTTTTCGTCACTCGGGAATTCCGGCAGACCCATTTCATCGTTGGTGGAGTAGCGGTAACACACCAATGTCACACATCGGGTGGCTGGGAGTCATGTACCAACATGACCGATGACATTTGTAACTGATAATCTGAACTAACCAGAATAACCTTACCATGACAGAAGGAACATTGTTGAAATGACGGTTATTTAAATACCAATTTCACACGCACGTTTCAGGTAGTTCTATAACGGTTGGTTCAGAATTGTCGTCCGCAATTTTAAACCGGAATGTGCTTCTTGGTTTTCTGTGACCAACGGTGACCAACTATCTTTTATACTTGTATCTGCGGAGTTGCAAGGAAAGGAGCATGCATAAAGCGCCGATATGCAACCTGAAGCCGCCCACTTAGGCGTCTCACAAGGCACGTTAGTTATGCAGTTAGAACTACAATTTTGAGATGTATTCCAGAGCTGTCGGTCTCGTAATCAGCTTACTTTGTCTTATTCTCCTTCTGTGGCTTTGGCTTGCTTTGAAACTACCAGGAAATTGAGGGCTGATGATTGGGGCGTCACCAGTTGGATACTGGTTAGCTACGTCTGTCGATTATATCGTCTTTCCCAATCACTGTAACCAAAGTAATTATACCAATCGATTCAGAGCATGCTGGGCTACTTTGATGCGGAATTCAGTTGCACATTTAGCCACCATTTCTACTTCAGTAGTTTGCCTATAGCTTGTGGCGGTCGATAGTTCTAGGACGTAAACCAAACGGTAACGATCTTATAAACCATTGGTTTGAAGAGCTTGACAGGATCCGCCTCCAAAAGGCGCATCCCGGAATCACCCTGAACTTCGGCGAAGTGAATTATAACATGCGGCATACGTGAAGCGAGCAATTTGATTCTTCAGTGATTTGCGGTTGACATCTCGAACACCCACCTCGAAAACTTGCCGTCAACGTGTTACAGTAATGAATATAACCACGCATATTACTAGTGTTCTGCCGAATCCAACAGTAGATGCCATAAGAATGATTTCCGTGAACGCGAAAAAAACCCGCATTTAATATCCGCTGGTAAACCAAAGCACAAAAGCCATGCACCTCGCTGACCAAGGCGCTCACTATACAGGTGTACCATTGAAAACTCACCGAAACTTCAGCTTACAGAGATTTCTGGTTCGCTTGAAAAGAAGGTTCCGTGAACAAAACACCACTCGCTTTCGGTCACTTGGGTTGTACTAGTCTCCGCATCTGAAGAATGTAAAGAACCGCGTTTTTTACGTTTTTGACATCGATTCCAACATCATGCTGGAAATCGAACCTGAACTAAACTAATCCACTCAGTGGATATTGAGTTAACCAGCCCGATCTGCACAAGCACACTCGTAGTGGCAAGTGGCTTCGATGTACTATGTTATTACTATCAAAATTACTATTCATACTACTGAAAGCTGAACGCTGCTTTTAGTTTTTTGGAAGTCCAGCAACACAACACTTCCATTTTATTGGACTCGTTGACCGTGAAACGAAAACCCATTCAGTTGTTAAAATATTAACTAGTCTGCATGCCGAACAGAAAAATTGCGTGGTTTCTCCATGTTGTTATGTAGTTATCATTGATTTTTGCTACTGATTTGAACATTTGACCCCGAATCTTCTCCTGGACTTTCACTTCGTTTTGGTATTGAGAAAAATGACCCAAATCACCGCTCTCAAAATATGAAAGTTTGCCCGTTTGGCTTTTCAGTAAACACATTTCATGGATAAACTTCGTTGGTGATTTGGTATCCATTTACCATATAGTTTGTGTAATCATGTTGCTTTTACGTCGTAGCAAAGTGAAGGAACAACCTACTGTGCAGCATCAAAAGTGTGAAAGTGTTTGGAAAACTGGGTTAGATTGAGCGCAGAATGGAGCATCAGCTGTGGACTATTTATCCATGAGTTCGAAAAGACAGAAATCATTGTCGTTTAGTTCTCCCATTGTAGTCTTGTGCCGCAAAAGAATTCGAGAAAAAATGTCGAGAAAACGGTGCATTGCAATTGCAACCTTGTGGATTCAAATTTTGATGTGTGCTGGCAACCTTTCACTTAGATTAGTCAGGAATATTCTACATTTATTTCGTATCTAATGATGTGTCCACTCATATGAAGAGTATCATTAATAACCTAATTAGACAAACCCTATTCACCAATCAAAATGGCAGTCTGAGGGCCACAGACCACTCTATAGCATAGCCTTAAAACTATGGAAATCGCCATTCCACGTTTTAGATCGTAATACTGTCACCAAGATTCTTCGTTATTTGAAATGCAAATTTTTTAGAGTGGATGCACTTAAGTAGTGCTTACTATCCTAGCCGGCATAGGAGTAGTGCTACAAGATTCAAAACGAAGGAAAGTGGGTAAGGTGGGCTGCATCAAATGGATCACAGCAATCGGTAAAAAATCGCGGGTGGAAGAGCTGAGCCAGAATGTAGTTCCAGAAGGATATCTACGGTCTGTTTAGAGCAATTATCCCGTCCGCTAACAGAATAAAAGGGTAAGATCTTTTCTCATGGTCTAAAGCAACGCTGATGGAAGGCTTATCCCTGTATTGTACATTAAATTAGTCAACAATGAACATCTCATCTATTAAGCTCAGATGCATGGCAGATTCCCTTGAAAAAAGAGACTGACCTGCATTAGTGCTGCTGAGACAACAGTGATAAGACAAATTGGATTCTCATCATTAAAAGTGTGCAACTGATCAGAATCTAGGCGGAAAAATGGAGCAGCTCTAGGCACAAACAACACCACTAAAACCACTGTAGTGATGAAATGCATAACATGGAAGCTTAATTTTAACGCAATGGACTTGGAGCAAGCTCAGGAATAGGATAGATGCTGTCGATGAGGACAACGCGACAACGCATAATGCACAGGAAAGTAAGAAACATTTGTCCCGTTTGATCCACTTAGCCAGGAATATCAGAAGACAAATGCTGTTAGACATCAAAAGTCCAGGTTGCTTAAGACAAAAGCAGATGTAGAAAAAATCAGCATTTGTCTGTAACGGACATAGAAACAGTGCAACAAACGACAATACAGTGAAGAAGGATACGGTTCGAATTCGGTTCCAGGGTAGATGAACAGATTGAAACCATAGTTTCTGTGCACACAAGTAAGGTTTTTGTACTCCTATCAACTACCATTTACATAACGTTAGCAGTTTCGGGGCTCCATTGTCTAACCTTATGGTGAAAGTATTGGCGGAGCCTGTTTCAGAAGTGTGACTTGAGTGTGCATTTCTCAATTTTCTTCCGCTGCAAGAGCAAAGGTGTAGCTGAAGCAAAACAAAATTCATTCACACAAAATCTCGTCGACGTTCCCGAGAATGCCTGCAGAGACCTTAAATCCGTGTATCTAATTACTACTCATATTCTCTGTACTTCACGTCCGCTGACCAGTTAGTGTGCTTCGTAGATTAGACCTTATTAGAGATGGCTGAGTGTTCAAATAGTTCCCAAATCAACAGAATAATAAAAGCCACTACATTCCTATTTTTTTCTTAAAAAAAAACATCACACAGCGTGCAAGCGCATCTTGCCTTTTCCAACCGCTGGATTACGCTAGACACGATCCAAATTTAGCATTCTCAATGTAAGATGCAAGTTATACGGTGCATCCTGGTGGTTATTCAAGGAACTGTTAATACTGAAACTATCCACGCATTTATACTATCAAAACTGGGTCGCCATATGTCACTCAGTACAAGTCTTATGTCCACCCGGACTATTGGACACTGATCAACCAACCCTCAATACATATAAAGGGAAAGCACGAACAATGTGCCACCCTACAACTGATTCGTAGCGTGCACCATGAATGCGCCACTGTTACTATCCCTCGTTCTATTACACAATTGTGTCGTAGGTCACGAAGTCTACGACTGGGATGTGCTGCTCACAGCAACAAAGAAGAGTGACATCATCCCCATAGGTAAACTGAATTGTGTCGACTCGTTGGATGACCTGATGAACTACACCGTTCATATCGCATGGGAACAATTCAAAACCGAATTCGACAGGCATTATTCCGATACCAAGGAATATGCCGAACGTATGGATGCATTTTGTCGATCATTTCTGCGTGTGAGAGAACACAACAAAGCCTATGAGGCAGGCCAAGTGACATTCAAAACGGGAATCAATGAATTCAGTGACTGGGTATCTGTCGTTGCTTGGTAATTGACGGTTTCTTTTTATTTTTGAATAGCTTCCGAAAGAACGAGAAAATATTTGTGGCGGACACGTCCCTGTGAACTTGTCGAACCATTCTGGTGCGAGATTTAGAAAAATTGCTGCACCTCCACCAAAGTCAATTGACTGGCGCACAAAGGGAGCAGTAACACCTATCAGAAAGCAAGGTAGCTGTGGTTCGTGCTGGGCATTTGCATCCGCGGCGGCCGTGGAAGGACATGCGTACATACACAATGATCGACTTGAAGTCTTGTCTACACAGCAACTAATAGACTGCAGTTCGGGGTACGGGAATAGTGGTTGCGCCGGCGGAGATTCAATAACGTCCTTTCGATACCTGAAAGATTCCGATGGTTTGGAGCTGGATCGAGACTATCCCTATATTTCCGATAAGACGCTTAGACCAAATTCTTATTGTAAGGTTGACTCATCGGTGTGGACAGCTGAGGTTGCCGGATTTGTGGTCCTTCCTTATAACGACGAGGATGCGATACTTCAGGCAGTTGGTTTCCACGGTCCCGTTGCAATATCGGTAGATTCCCGTCTGCAGAGCTTTAAGGATTACAAGGGAGGTGAGTCAAGTGCAGTTTTTTGTGAATACCCATATTTGGTACTCCACAGCGTTGACTGGCTTTGTCCCAGAGACGGCCAGTTTGGTGTTATTCCCCTTAGACCTCGATAACATATGAGAAACCCAGAATCATTTTTGATTTTTCTCGAAGAAACCTAGCAAGAATTCATTACAGACTAAAAGTGCCATGCTGTTGCATTGAAACTGAGGTAAAAGTTACCTGAAAATTTAAATTAAAGCGAACTTTTCACTCAAGGAGTGTATTACTGATAACACCCGTTTGCAAGAAAATCTTAAACTACCTTGGGAAAGTCGAATGAAAACTATATATATATGTATATATATATATATATATA